GCATGCATGAGTCCATTTGCAATTTCAAACTTAATTCTCCTCCTGATTCATAAATGTCACTTCATATTATCACAAGTAGTGGCGTAGCTAGCGGTCTGGCTGGTTGGGCCCAGCCCGACCAAATAATTTCCCAAAAATGAAAAATTTGTTTTCTTTAAAATTGGATTTACGAAAATTTTAAATTTTGCGACTCTTTTTGGAATAATCCACAGTCTATTAGTGTAATGTTTGTCAAATTGCGTCGTTATTAGCAAAATTATCATATTTTAAACGTTACTTAGCAACAATGACTAGTGCAATTCTAGTGCCAGGCATTACGCAGTTTAGTCGGGCTCTGAAAATTCAGCCCGACCAAGTAGTAAAATCTATAGTGGGAATATCTGTAATCTGATTGGTTGAGAGTAGCTGTGAACACACTTAAACGTATACCAACATCTAGTCGGGGTCATTTTCAAAAGCGTGACTTGAATTTTGAGCTTTCGAAATATACGTTCGGAAATCGTAATAACTTACATTACAATGGCTTCGGCTAATGAAATCGATATAATAAGTGAACTACAAAAGAAACCATTTTCTGTTCGACAATCAGGCGAGCAAAATATACTCGTAAAGCAGGGGCCAATCCCAAATTTACAAGCGCCTACAGGCAATAGAAGCTTTCAGGAAAGTTGGTACTCGAAGAAAGATTGGCTTTGTGGTAGCTCAGAAAAGAATGAATTGTTCTGTTGGCCTTGTCTTTTGTTTTGCCCTGGATCGTCATCTTCATGGACGCAGACGGGATTCAAAAACATGAAGAATTTCCTATTCGATTGTAAGAAGCATAAGAAGGCAAAATCGCACATGGGTGCTTACAAGACTTGGAAGACCTACGGTTTTCAGCCTCGTGTCGACTGTCTCATGTTACAAGCCAGACGTGAAGAGATTCAGCGTCATACCGAGGAGGTAAGGCAAAACAGGGAAATGTTGAAAACCATAACAGAAGCTGTTTTATACTTGTCTAGGCAAGAGCTTGCATTTACTACCGTGAAATTGGCACCACATTGGGCACCACAATCAACACAACATTCATCACAACAATCATCACCACATTCAACTAAAATTTATCATTCAAAATGATAAATCGAAAAATCGTCTTTAAAACACGTTTTCCATCAAATACAACAGTAAAAAACAATTCTTGACTGTTTATTACTATTTTACTGTCTTTAACCATCACAAAACATGTATAAAAGTCAAGAAATTGAAGAAAACACTAAGATTTATATTACAGTGTACTTTCCATTTCTCTTAATTAGCCTATAATTTAAAACTACACGGTAGAATTTTTTAAACTTGGCCAGAATATAGATAATTATATTGTCTAAATATATCAAAAATCTGGAGATGGCACAAAAATATAAAGTTGTAGAAAATCATCGACAAAGTCGGATGACACGAATGCATAATATGATCTTATATAATTAGGTTGAGAATTTCAAGTCATTGCTAAACAAAGGCCTGTAAATAAAAACTACACGATAGAATTTTTTAACTTGCCATATTGTAGATATTCTTATTGTCTAAACATATCCAAAATCTGGAGGTGGCACAAAAATATAAATGATAGAAAATCAGTTCAGAATGCAAGAGGAACATTTTCAGAAAAATTGAAATTGTTAATCGATATTCTGATCGTGTCAACAACGTAAAAAAATGCGATAGAAAGAAAAATACTGTGGTAAATAATAGCCGATTTCTAATTATAAGATAATAAAGTAAAGTAATTATCTAGTAAGTCTGTAAAAATACAATATAGATAATGCACATGTCTAATTATACCGTGACGTAAAGGTCCTGGATTAAAGTAATATTTGGTCACGACTACTCCACAAACAAATCATTTACTTCACTAGATTCACTATATTTTGAAAAAATTAAAGCGATGAGCAACTAGAACAAATTTTCAAGAAAAATGACCAGCACTGTTACGTCACTGCATAATTAATTTGGTACTAACAACCAAACAGAGTTTACTACTTTTAAACAATTTAGTAAAAAGTGAATTGTATTAATAATTTTTTGTTCACTCTTTAGATTTTGGATATATTTAAAAAAATTCTACCGTGTAGTTTTTTATTTACAGGCCTTTGTTTAGCAATGACTTGAAATTCTAAACGTAATTATATAAGATCATATTACGCGCATTCGTGTCTTCCGACTTTGTCGATGATTTTCTACAACTTATTTTTTTGTGCTCTATAGAGCGGTTTGAGCGGAATGTGGTGCCAGCTTCACAGTTAATACCAGAGTACATTCTCAAGGAATATTATTCCTTTTATTTTTTTGTGCCATCTCCAGATTTTGGATATGTTATAGACAATACGAATATCTACAATATGGTAAAGTTTAAACAATTCTACCGTGTAGTTTTTTATTTACAGGCCTTTGTTTGAAAAATTACATGGATAGAGGAAGTTAATTATATAAGATTATATTACGCGCATTTGTGTCATCCGACTTTGTCGATGATTTTCTACAACTTATTTTTGAACTGTTTCTCTGCTTTACTATATGATCCTTCGGCAATTTAAATTAACCAAAATGGTTCTATTTCCTGCATAAATATCACGCGTTTGCTTTCTAAGATAGCCGTTTCCGACGTTCTAGGGAGTCTAAATTCGGAAAATTTTCTCGCTCGGCGTCAACCATGGTGGCGCCTCGTGAGCCCGACTAAATGTTTTTCGCTAGCTACACCACTGATCACAAGTATAATGAAATAACACATATTTTATAAATATACCGTTCGGACCCAAAGATGAATATAATTGCATGCTAGCAAGCAATTTGAATATGGCAAACAAATACATAACGATAAACAGGCCTTCCTTTCCATGGCAGTAATTATTTTTCGTAAGTAAATTGTTTGTATTTGCAACTTCGTTTGATTGGTATACAATTACAGGATTACAAATTGCTACGGGTATCTATGATGTATATTTCATAGTACTAAGGTGTGACTAATATTTAGTAAAATATATTAATTAAATATGACAAACATTTTGTATTTAAGGTCACATTTATACATCGTAAACACATAATTCTTTATCTTTTGTCTTACAAACCTTTCGCTGGTCGACGGTTGGAGCTTTGAACATTCAATCTTTCAGATAAATTCAACGTTCTGAAGAGTTAAGCGTCAAATGTCTGCGTCGTTTGAGTTGATACGTTGCGTCGTTAGGCATTTGTTATGTAATACAAAGACACAGAATAGATAACGTAGAAGGGCCACTTAGCAAAAATGCGGTCCTAAATTTTAATGCGCATGCGCTACGCCTACCATGATGACAGCAAGATAAACTTACAACTCAAAAATCTTGGCGTTATTACTGAAAAGTTGAAATATTTATCCTGAGACGACCAAATCAAAGCTGTGGTTAATAAAGGCAATCAAGACCTACCCTCAGCATCGTGCTGAAATGGGAACATACAATCAACATATTTTTATGCTTTTTCATGTACAACCAATGTGTACAATTCTATCGAGACCTGTATGAGAAATGCTGTGCCGTGGCTGGGTGGTTCAAGATTATTCGTATTTATTTATTGTAAGAACGGAAGCGGAGAAGCGCTTAACGAACGTCTTTAAATCGAAACAAGGAACAATGTGAAATTTATCAACGGACGGGCTACACTAAAAGATATTTCGTATGACATTGGATTGGTGCTTTAGAATTCAGACAAATTTAGTCATATCCCGAACACTCGATAAATGTTCATTGAAATTTGCAAACTTCGGCAATTGTATTTAATGCCAATGCCATATTGTGTTGGGAAAATTCTTATATTGTATGATTGTAGCTAACTTCCAGATGCTCTTAACTATATGGACAAAAATTTAGACAAGAGGCATCTGTTCACCAGTGGTCTATAAATGGAACATAAATGCTACTGTAAATATTGTGTTGACAGTTGGCGGTAAGCAGGGACAATGGGTGCAACATTTTAT